CAGGCTGTTTCTAACTGATCTTATAAATAAAAAGTAACATCTAATGATCCCTATAACTTATGTCTATTTTCCAAGCTTCCACTCTCCTAGTGGGAAGGACAGTGGTAGAGTTCTATATTTCTGCTAAGCCCAACACTAAAATTAAAGTGCCACACACACGGTTGGATGTTGTGTATAATTCCTACTTCCCTGCTTTAAGCTCTGGGCAGATCATGATACCAGCCCCCATCTGGAGATTATTGGATATGCAGATGAAACACACACACACACACACACACACACACACACACACACACACACACACACCTTAATTTCAACTGCCTTATTAGTTCAATTTCTGGATGCTTCTAATCTCCCACTGCTAGCGTGCCCTTCCCAATATTCTTATCACCTTTTAATCTGCCCTTAGCTTAGTGTCCTGGTTACCTTCAACATCCCAAAACTGCCCTCAGCTTAGTTTTGTTTCTGATCTCCCCCTGGAGAAGTGGGCTATGGATGCTTCACCCAAGAACTCACAAGCCTGGTCACCTATCCTCCCTCTGAAGCATGGATGGCAAAATTCTCCTTCCTCTTCCTGAGTCTCTTAGCCTGCCTGCAGGGACCCAGAAGTTCTGCCTCTTTCCTTCCACCCAGCAATTAGCCTCTGGCATCTTTATTGATTGATCAAGAGCCAATTGGGGAACAGGACCTTAGCATCAGAACCAACCCTTACAGTCATACATGTGAATCATTTTTGGTTTGTCCTGCCTTTTTGTTCTTTTACTAAAAACCTTATTAACACATATTAATTGTGAGCATCATTAATAATGAATTTCATTATAACATTTCCATACATGTATATAATAATCATTACTAATAATTATCTTCCTCTTCCTCCTGTCTTTTCTCCAACAGGCTGTGATACTCAGCATTTATGCTACAGATCCTGCTGTTCACTGGGTTAAGTAACTCTACACATTGTTTCTCCTCCACTTCTTTCAGGCAGGGATTTTGTTGTAGCTGAAATGCTGTTCCAGCAAGTCACCTACCTGAATTTTATATATTAATTCTATAATTTGCCACACACATTCACATCCCATTCCTTTATTTATTTATTAAATGTTTTAATAAATAATGTCAATGGGGTATCAACTGGGTGAAGAAAGTAGGGTCCACAGAAGCTGAGTTTGTAGGTTGCCCAAAGTCAGTCATTCACTTGATTATGGCAGAGATAAAACTTGAAAACAGCCGGGCAGCGGTGGCGCATGCCTTTAATCCCAGCACTTGGGAGGCAGAGGCAGGTGGATTTCTGAGTTCAAAGCCAGCCTGGTCTACAGAGTGAGTTCCAGGACAGCCAGGACTACACAGAGAAACCCTGTCTCGAAAAAACCAAAAACAAAAAAACAAAAAAACCAAAAAAACCAACCAAACAAACAAACTTGAAAACGGCCAGCTTATCTTGTCTTCTTTCTCTCCTCTCCCTCCCCCCCTCTTTTTCTCTGTCATATCTGTGAAATCAAACTCTTGCTTTTTTTTTGGAATATGATAGGAGACTGAAACTCTAGCAAATTCTCCCTGAGATTTGTTTCAATCAACAATTACAATGAAGTATTCAAACAAAAGGAGTTATGGATCAATTTATTAATTGATTACATCCAGCTGCTAGGACAGTGCACAATGCCATTTGTCTGGAGTAGAGGAACAGGCTGGAAACCTCTGACTGGAAGCTTGTGTCTAATGAGGAAGTCAGGATGTGGGCCTGCACTTAGGGAACAAGGACAGAAGGAAAGAACATACACATGTGGAGGATACACATTGTGCGTGCTTACCCATCCATCACTTGCAGAACTTGGAAAGAACCTTTGCACAGGTTCATGCCAGGTCATGTGATGCTCTACCCAGCAGATGGGGCAATTCCCAAGGCAGGCAAAGGGCTCACAACTGATGGTGTCAAGGCAGAGTGTTAGACTCTGTGCTCATCTCAGAATGACCTTGTCTCTCAAGGACCCAAGCCCAGCTCAGTGTGTGACTCTTCACTCTCTAAGGATGGGGTTTCTCTCCAGCAGCTTCCAAGCTACTGGAGTACAGGCTCCTGGCAGGTTTCCCACTTGGGTTTACTGCACATGCTCAGAGCACTGCTCCTGCTGCTTATGCTGCTAAAGAAAACAGAGGGCAAATACCTGTAGAAGAAAGCTACACTGTTTTAGGGGGTACTGCCAAGAGATCCTGAAGTGCAGAGGTAGTGGCTGGTCTGATTGTGGGCTCTACAACTGAATTGGAGACTTTAGGAGGAAGCAGGAGCTGCTGAGGAACTCTGAGGAAAGGTGACAAACCTCACACCATTTTGTTTGCTAATTTATTTATTTATTGGATTTGGTAGGGTTTAATGTTATTTTAATTTTGTGAGTATGAGTGTTTTGCCTGCATGTATATCTGTATACTACATTCATCCCAAGGTCATTTCAAGTCTGGTTTCTAAGGAGGCCAGAAGAGAGTATCTGATACACCTGGGATTGGAGTTACAGACAACTGAGTCACCATGTTGGGAATTAAGCCTGGGTCTTCTGCAAGGGCATCCAGTGCTCTTAACTGATGAGCCATCTCTCCAGCCAACCTTGTTCTTTATCTGTAGTTGATATACTTGTTCTCTGAACACCGCTAACACATGTGAAGAACAGAAATAGCATTCATAGACTTACTTGTTGGAAAAGTCTTACTTGAAGGGGAAACACAGGCAGGTGCCTGGGAAGAGTCCCAATCTTCCTGAGGTAGAATAGGAGTCTCAGCTCACTCGCAGGTTCCTGTTAGTTTCTTCAGTGTGTTAGATAATATTGTTTAGACTATTATCTCTCTCTCTTCTCCAGCCTACAATTCTCTCCTTCTCCATTTTTTTTCTGTGCTGGGGAATCAAAACCCAGGATTTCACTCACACCAGCCATTCATTCAACCACAGAGCTGCACTCCCAGACCTTCTACAATGTTTTCTCATGCTAAGCACATACATAGTGTTTGCTCCTTTAATGGTTGCCCACATCAAGCCAGCAGAAATGTCAGCTTCCATGGGTGACTTCTCTTTTATGTTTCATGCACAGAGATTTTCTCGTAAAGTCATGTTGTCCTCCTGCCGTAGGCCACCAAAGCACAGCGAATCGCAGTTCATCTTCAGCAATCGCAGGAGGGAGGGTTGTTTCCCACTTCGTCTGCCTTTTGTCCATTCATTCTGAATAATCTTGACGTAGCTAAGGATCTGAATGACGATGCTGAAACTAGGGATGTGGATTGCTGGCAGGGGTGTACCCCTTTTCACTTTGGGACTTCCCTTTCCAAACTTTCAGTCTCTGGTCAGGTATTTGGGAATAATAAGCACAGAAGAAACCCCAAAGAAGAATTCACTCAATATTTTATTTTTATGACAGGGTCTCATTATGTAGCCTAGACTAGCATTGAATTTAAGATCCTCTAATCTTAGCTTCCTGAGTGCTGGGGCTGCATAGTTAGTTGTGCCACTATGACTGATTTTGGATTTACTTAAGGATGAAAAATTGGGAAAGAAAGAAAAAAACAAACAAACTAAAAAATCTAGATGCTAATGCACTACCTTTGGAATATTTTGGCCAGGGGCTTGGTGTGTCCAGATTAATGGCTGAGTTACCTGCTGAGTCAGGGCCTTAGGGCCTCCAGTGAGAAAGCACGGGTACCACTTTCCAGGAGCAAGGGGTAGAAAACACAACTGCTCAGCAGAGGAAATACAGTTTTTCCCTCTATGAGCTAAAGGGGTAGCTGTGATTGGCTAGGGCCTACAACGGTGTGGTCTCCCTCTGCAGCTCTGTTTGCTGAGTACTGAGCTGCAGCTGTTGAATTTCCAGACACAAACAAGTATGTATTCTGTGAGCCTTGCTGAGCCCACACAGCAAGGGAGAGCCAAGCCAGATTCCATTCTGCTTTGCACATAAGCAGCTCTGCTGCCAGCTGAACTCCAGGGCAAAAGCTGTGTCTGGTAATGATACAGGCAGGCAGATGGCACAGCTGGCCTGACATGGGCAGTTAGTGAGGACACACTTGTCTTTGATTATTTGGGGGAGAATGAGAAACTGAAGTGCATGAAAACTTGCAGAAACACACACCAGTCTTAGCAAACCGGGGCACACCAAAGGGGGAAAGTCCCTGCGTTTATCACTCAGCAACAACAAGCCTGTGTGTACATGCCTGTTTATATTTGGGTAAGCCATGCCTCCTACTCACTAAAAAACTAGACAGACATGAAAAAGGTACCAAGTAGACAAGTAGATGTCAACTGTGTAGAGACCAGTTGAGAAGGACAGCAGTGGCTGCAATGCTACTGGCTTTATCTTGTGCCCCAAGGGTCTAAGTTCTTATTTATACTAGGGCTCCATTTAGCATTGTGTCTGTCCCTGTGTCTTGAGAGAAACTTGGAATCAAGGAAAAAGGTTAATGAAAACCAGGAAGATGTAAATTGAGGTATTTCCCTCATTCCTTCTTTCTTTTCTTCCTTCCTTCCTTTCTTTTCATGTATATGTTTTGTGGTATGTGTGTGTTTATTTATGCATGTGGAAGTCAGAGGTTGGTATCAGCTGCCTTTCTTGATTGCCCTCCACTTTCTTTTCTTTTTTCTTTTTTTTTTTGTTTTTTGAGACAGGGTTTCTCTGTGTATCCCTGGCTGTCCTGGAACTCACTCTGTAGACCAGGCTGGCCTTGAACTCAGAAATCTGCCTTCCAGCTGCTGGGATTAAAGGCATGCAACATCAGTGTCCGACAGCCATCCATTTTCTTTATTGAGGCAAGATGTCTTGCTGAACCCTGAAACTCTATGCTGGTTACTTTAGCTAGTCAGTCTACCTGTAGCTCCCTGTCACTGCCTCTTGAGCTTTGGAATTACAGGTGGGCCGCCCAGCCCACTTGGCTTTTTGCATGGGTACAGGAGATTTGAACTCCTGGCCGCACACTTGTACACCAAGCACTTTATTCATGGAACCATCTCCTCAGCTTCTAGGATTTTTTTAAAATATCCATTTCATCTCATCCATTTGTGACAAAGGACTGAATCCTTATATGGAAGACTGAGTCAGGGAACTCTTCTGAATCTTGAGAGAGATGAGGTAGGAAGACTGGATTTTAGAGGCTCTCGGGGACATTTCCAGTGGGTAATAGTAGGACTGTTCCAGGTTAAAAGTGCTCATTGGGAAGCTGGAGTATAGGAGTTTCAAGATAAGGATAAAATGTGGTTGGGGTCAGGTGTTGAGCAGGAAGGGATGTCTCTGGAGTGATGGTCCCTAGGCAGAGGGTATGAAATTCTGGGATCTTAAAAGACTCTTGTCTTTTTTGTTTTTCTTTTTTCTTTGCTTAAATTAGGCAGGTCAGCACATAAGAGGGCTGATAGTGCAGTTTGCTGAGTAGAGAGATACTATTTCTCCAGAATAACAAGTCCCTGCCTCCAAAACATACAATCAGGTATGATGGTGCATGGTTGCAATTTCAGCACTTGGGAGGTGGAGATAGGAGGACCAAAAAGTTCAAGACCACCCTTGGCTACATGGAGAGTTTGAGGTTAGCCTGGACTACATGAGATCCTCTCTTAAAATCAGAAAACATAATGAACATCAATGAAAAAAATAGGGATCCCAGAGCACTGAACAATGTAACCTACAATTTGGAATTTTCTCAAATGCAGGTTTCTTGGACTGCAGTCTCTAAAACCTCAGCCTTCATATCACCTGGTGGTTGTTGGGAATGTAGATCCACGGTCTGCTCAGCCATCATGTAGGACTGAGGCCCTGTACAAGGCACTGGGGTTTGAGAACCACAATGATGTGCCTCACCCAGATGAACAGCTGCTTGCCTGAGCTGGATTTAGCAGGCCTCTTAGAATCTAAGGCATCACCTTTTTACTGAAAGCTGAAGATACTCAGGGAAGATAGCAGCTGCCTTGTGTGTACTCCAGGTAAGCTATGTTTAACCTTTGTCTTGGATGTTGGGTCTCTGCCTCTTCCAGAGAAGTAATGAACCAGACTAGACAATTTCATTGGTGTAAGATCACACTTTAGTTTAGAGACATACTTGCATAAATACTTGAAATGGGTCCGCCCCAGCAGGTGGCAGCCTGAGAACAAGTGGCTTTCTATAACCCTGTGATGGACACTGTCGCCCTTTCAGACAACAGATTTTAATATTGAAAGCAGCGCAGCCACGGTCATTTCTGAAGATTGCTCGGAGATAAATATAGAGCTTGCTTTGGCATTCACTACAAACACCTGGCCTTATACTCTTATATACTGATTTTCCCCCGCTGTGAGGTAGATTGATTATTGGGGAAACCAAATAGAAAATAATTTCTTCTTTCTCATTTAGCTTTGCTAGTCCTTTGCGAAGAGGCTGGCTCTGAAATCTCCCATTTGGATCAGTAAGTGCACTTTTACCTTTTAACCTATCCTGTCTTCTTGGTCACAAGCAAGGTCCAGTCCACTAGACAGTCAACTTTACAATCTGGTACCCTTATACCTTCTTCTCTCTTCCTTATGAATTAGGCAGTACCCAAAGGGTTGTAGTAATAGAAGGCCTGAAAGGGCCATGCCATCTTGATATGTAGTATCACCTCAGAGGGGACCTTTGTCTGTTATGCCAGTAGCCCAAATCCATAAGCCTAAGACATTTCCACCAAGGGAATCAGAGGGGACATGGCTGGCTTCCACAGGGCTTGGCATCCTCAGGTTTCAGAGCCTCATCACAGGTGTCAGAGGCCTGACCTGAGGGGGCCCTGCATTCCACAGTCCGCCGCTGCCAGCTACCTCCACATGTGCTAGGACATTCAGACCAGTCCCCCAGCACCCACTCTGCATAGGGCAGTGACTGAATGATGTTGGTGGTTGCTCTTTCCTTGCTATTCTGCATGTTGAAGTCCATGTCATTGGGGACAAAGAAAGTATATCTGACTTTTGGAGGGAAGACCTCACCAGACACAGTCAGGAGCTGTACTGTAAGAGGCTCAGGTAGTGCCTGGAAGCTCTGCAGCCGTTCCAGGGTAGCCATGGAACCACTGTATTTTAGGATGGTCCCCTTCATCAAGATGTCTTGCTCTATGGCAGAGATGGCCAGGTTGCCATTGAGCAGGTACTGCCCATTGGCTGTCTTCAGTGCCAGGTAGCTGCCATCGTTCCGGACCCCTGGGTGACTCCGTTGTTTCACATCAATATTTGTGGCACCAGCTGGGATGGTGACAATGTCATTGTAGCCATAACTATGATAGAGACAGAAAAATCTGTTAGGGTTGGTGGCTTCCCAGCCTGGAAACTGAAATGGATCCCCCAGACAAAACAGACATAAACAACTAGCAAATAACGAAGTGATTGCCTCGAAATTCAAAATAAATTAGATGCCAAGGCAGATAGAATTGTCTTGGGCATTGGGCTTTCTATGGGTTTCTGCTTCATCTGGTAATCTACTGTATCGATTGAGGCAGTTAGATGTATTAATCTTGACAGCAAGACAGGAGAGCCTAGGAGAAAAGGGCAGAGAACATGGCCCCTCCTTGGCTCAAATCAGAACTCAAATATATTTGCTACTTCGCAGTGGTAAAAGTGGGCGTGGCTACCTCCAGACCTAGAGCTCAAACTTTTGTGGAAAAATATGAGCTCTTTCCTCATGCCAGAACCTAACCAGGATAGAAGACTGATACCGTCTCTTTGAGTTAACCTTCATCTAGTATTGATTATTATGGACTTGGGAAGAATGGGAGATAAAGCTTGCTTCTTTGAAGCCACTTCTTGAATGTGCCCAAACACCAGGAGCACCATGGTTTTTAGTGATGGGATAGTAATGGGGCGAATGCTTCAAGTACATTATAAACATAGGGCTTTATGTAGGATGTCAAAACCTAGTTTCTTGTCCTCCTATGGGAATCTGGGCTACACAGAATTGGAATAAACTGTTAAGAAAGTCCTTCAGGTGGCTTTTTTTGCTATTCTTTCTGTGTGTCTAGTCTAAGGTTAGGGGACTTATCCAAGGCCATATGTCTAGGACCTACAAGGAAGTAGCTAAGGTACCCATGATCAGAATAGCTTATGCTTTTTTCCTACTTATTTGAGATTAAATTTGAAAAACACTCCCATTTTTTCTGGTTCTATTTTTTGAGATATGTAGTACCATAACATATGTAAAGAAGAAGATAAAAGAGGGGAGAGGGAATGAAGGAGACAGAAAGGAAGGGAGAGAGATAAGGGATATAGAGAAGGACAGAGCAAGCTTCACTAGGTTCAGAACTAGTCAGTAAATGGACAAAAACTGAGGTTCTGGAGCTGGCTAGAAGGTTTGAATGCTAGGAAGCCATATGAATGCACTTGATACCAGAGAGACAAAGAAAATACTTGGCCTTAACCTTACTCTTCAGGAAGTGCAAGGGACAGCAGAGAACAATTACCTGGTACTTAAAGAACCTGGCCTGCCATCCAGAGATGCCCTAGGTTTAATCTCCAGCATAGCAGCAAGAAGGAAAAAAGAAGAAAGAGGAGGAGAAGGAAGAGGAGGAAAAGAAGAAGGAAGAGAGGAGGAAAAAAAAGAAGAAGAGGAAGAGGAAGAAGAAGAAATCCAAGTTTTCTTTCTATCACTCTCAGTGTGACCTTAGAAAAGACAGTTAATATCTTCCTGTTTCAATCCCTCAATCCTAAAGTAGTCAGTAACAGTTTTGTTCTTGCATTTTGAAGTAACGCAGGTGGAGTGCTCTAACACGTGTGGGGTGCTTGGGTGTGAGACTCTCTCTTAGCCCTTAGATTCACAAGGCTGCTGCTGAGTCACTGGTTTGCTTCCTCTTCTCTGATGGAGATCTAGTCGTGGAAAGACAGGGCTAACTGGCCTTAGGGTTAGATGTCCCCTCCATAACAGGCCCATGGGAAATGTTTTGTGACTGAGTCCTGTGTTACTCAGTGTCGCTCTCCTGTTAATTGACTCAGAGCTAACACATTCTCATCCATGTGGCCTCCAGCTCTAATGAAACAATGGATGTCCCACCCCATTCTCTTCATAGCCAGATCCTATTCCGAGTGTTCTGTACCTCCTATCTCAGTAAATCCTGATAACGAACGAGAAGAGGTGATCACTGACATTCTGTACAGAAATGGAGTCTTGAAGTCTTTATAAGACCTCCTACCCATCTATACAACTATTAACTAGCAGCTGCTATTTAAGCTTGAGGCCATCAGTGTCCAAAGCCCTTTATGTTTCTCTTCCTGAGTACAACCTCTAGGAGACTCACCTGAAGGGGGTGAAAGAACCGGAGACCTTCCTACAGGCAGTGCCTTTGCCCCCACACACCCCACATTTGTCCAGCTTCTTAGGTGAGTTCACCACATGGTCACAGCCAGCCTTAACACATTGCCCCCGGACGCAGATGGACAGAGTATCCGGTCCACATAGAGTGCCATCGATCACCTGGGAGAGGAAGGTAAGAAGGGGAATGTAGCACACAGAAGCCATCTGTAGGTGAGGGAGGCAACACATGCCTGTCTGCCCATCCCTGTCAGAGTCCGGGAGATTCTTACCTTAGCCTCAAACACTTTGAACTCACTCCTTCCACGGGCTCTGCAAAACAGCTTGCATCGGTCTCGGGGGGACACTCCTGAATATTTGGGGACCCACTGCAGGAAGTTCCCATCCAGGTCAGTGTGGTTGTAGGCATTATATTTCTCACATTGCTGCTCCCTGAAGCTTTTTCCTGAGAAGAGTAAGGAACAGCATGGAGTAACATACCTGCTGAAGGACTCTGGTTGAGAAAGATCTGAATCTGGGCCTCCTTTCTCTCTAGGCTTTGGGCTCAACCCAAGGACACAGGCACAAGGCCACTGTTTCTAGACATACCTGGATGGGGGAGGTAGGCATGACATTTTCTCAAAGGTCAATGAAAAGGAGCCATCTAGCCTAACACTGGGATTTCTGGTACAAATATCCTTTCCATCTGAGGATGTATGATTAATACAGAGCTATATTTTCAAGACTCTGTTGTTTATACTTTATGCTGATTTCCCTAGTAACAACAGACATGTGGCAAAGGCCTACTAGCACTTCTAGCCTTAGTCTTGCCTCTGCAACCCACTTTCTGTAATTCTGAATATCTATGGAAGAGCTCTATCTGTAGGTACTACAAATTACCCCGCCCCTCAACCAGAATTATCTTATTCTTTCAATAATTGGTTTGGTAGTCATTATAATAAGACTGGTACCCTAGCATCCTGGACATTCAAGCATCTCTCATGCTATTTCTAATCTACCATGACATCTTCTGCTAAATTCAGGAAAATTTGTCACTTCAGATGATTGCATATAAGTCTTGTAATCCCAAGCCCAGGCCTCATGCCATCCCTTAGGGACCCAGTATTGAGCTTCCAATGAGCCTCTCCAGTGCTCATACATGAAGGTCTACGTGCACAGCCTTCATTCAGACCAATCTACCCTTCAGATGTGTTTTTTTCTTGCACAATCCTGAATGAAGCCTGCTCTTCCCACCATGCATCTCTACCCTTGCTGTGCATCTGAATGGCCCATGGAGACATCTAAACACAGATATACAGTGCCGAGCTTGTAAGCTCATACTGCCGAAGGGGTTCTGGCTGTACCTGGAAAAGTATTAGGGTGACCTGATGAGATAGTTGTCATGGACAGTCCACACACGCTGTTTCAGGCTTTAAGGACCTTTGTGGTCTGGCTTTGACATGCTGCAAATTCTGTTTGGCTCCTCTTGAGTGATTGATGGGGTTTATCATACCTGCCTCATCCTGGCACATAACTTTCCTGTCTCACTACCATATCATCATCTGGACCTTCCTTGGCTTAAACTCTCTGAGCTTCCTTCTCTAATTCCCCATACGCTCAGGGTTGCTACTTTACAGGGTAAGCCATGATTACTGTGCAAAAGAGCTCATCATTAAGCTCTGTCATCTAGCAAAGTCTTTGAGGACAGAGACCATGTCATGTGCATTTATACCTTCCATATCTATTATAGTTATAGACACAGAGGCACTGACGGATACTTTACAGAAATGGCTGGTCTCAGTGCATGTGAAGTTATAACGTCACCTATCATTCATGTCTACCTTGAAAACTCTCATTAGCACCAGAGAGAAATTTCTGTTCTCTCTGGTGCTAATTCTCCCTGTTTAGCAAAACTGCAGAGCCTACAGATTTCCCTTAGACACTCAGCCCAATGCCAGAGCATCTATCCTGGCAGCTGTGAGAATTTCTCCTAAAGCTTCCCTTGCCTTTTTGTGCTGCCAACGCTTCCTGAAGCTGCCCAAACTGGCACTGGAGGAGATGGTGGCCAAAAAAAAATTTTTTTTATTCCCTTTCCTAAGTTGGCTGTTCCCCGCTTTTCCACTTTGTGTTCTTGTGTGTGCTTTCTAGCATGACCTAGGAGGTAGGAGTTAGCAAGGGGAGGCAGAGGTGGTAATCCTTCTGGGGAAGGCGATGTCAGGTAGTTGCTATGGCTCCAAGGGAAGATGGGCAGCTCTTCTCAGAAGGAATGTACCCAGGAATCAATCACACCCAGAAACCCTCCCTCCTGCCTGGGCTGAGTGCTGGCTGGAGAGACCTTGGAGGTTTGGCTCTGACACTTGCTTTGGAAAAGGTTGCCATCTGTATAGAGAAGGGTTCAGATGCCTCTGAGAGGATTATTACCCTCCACTGAATCCCTCTTCAAAGGTCCCTCTCAGATTTGGTTGGGAGTGGCATGCTTTGTCGCTCAACAGCTCAGAAGATCAAGACAAGAATAATGCCTTCTTTGATATCACCATACTCTCCTTAAAGTAAGAATAGTCCTAGATGTCTGAGGACTGTTCCCAAGCTTGACATCTTGCAGAGTCCATGAATATCTGGATGAGGGCTCAGCTGTGTACCTGGGGAGATACCCTCTCCTTCTCTTGAGATCTGATTCACCTATATCATCAGCTATTCTGGTAGGTAATTACCATTTGGTAGACATTCCTCTGTGTTGCATGATTGGTACTTGACTCTTTCACCCAGGCAAAATCTTCCTCCATTCTGAGGCGCTGGATTATCACACTCACGGTTCGAAAACTGTATCCCTCCACCACAGGTGCGAGAACATTGTCCCCAAGGTCCCCAGGGACCCCAGTCTCCATCTACCACAGCCTGTAACACACAATGTCACTGAATCAGGACCAAAGGGGAGCAGGTTTCAGTCCTATATGCCACCTGGTGGCTTGGGCCTGACTTCCTCATCTGAATGTATGGAGTTCTGTAAATGATTTTAATTGCTTGGTTAATGATAGCGTTGCTTGTTTGGGTGTGGCTTTGTGAGAATAGTGGCTGTGTTAGGTTTGTTTGCTGTGACTGCATAGTGTATATAGACAGCATCTTACCATACCCAGGTGCCCAACACAATAGCTGCTGAATGAGTATGAGAGAGTCTTCTGTGGGTAAGTTTGGGTCTGGTGCAGTGGATTTCCATTGGTGCCCATGTTGTCCTCAATGAGAGGAGTCTAGAGTCAATGTAGCTGCCTCATATTCATATGCCACTAGTAGTGGATCAAGACAATGATTCTTGGAAATAGCTAACAGTGTACAACACCCTCAAAGCCTTTCCTAGCTCCAGTGTCACAAGTGCTGAGGCTGAGAACCCTTGGTGTCTAGAGAAATGGCTACTGAGAGGTTTTGCCACAATTCTATCAGCTACTGGTTCCAGTGCTAGGCCAGTGCTGGGCAACACACAGAATCATTTCCAAGTTTACAACTGACTTACGAGAACAAAGTCTTCCCTTTGACAGCTCCATCAAGGGTTCTAAATTATTATTTTTCTGTTATTAAAGCAACATTTTGCTCATATAAAAATGAAAGCAGAAGACTGTAAAAATAAATACAGGAAGAAAGAAACAGAAAGAAAGCAAGCTTTAAAAATGTACCACTGTCCAGAAAAAAAAATCACTCCTGTGATTGTCACAGTATCCTGCCATTTTTCTGCTCCAAACATAAAATCCTACAGCAGTGATGCATTCATTTGACAGAGGCATGATACTGCAGACAAAGAGTGGTTTCCAGTCCTGCCCTTTTCCCTTTAAGGATAGGTGATCCTGTGACTGTTTTATGTCACTCTCAAAGTTCTGCCTCCGAGGTAGGTGGTTGGACCCTTCTCTTCTTTCAACACCATCAGAAGAGAATGAATGGGGAGACCAGGAGGTGGCTGACCTGGAATCCATGAACTCTGCACCAGCCCAGGCTTTGGGTGAGAACGTGTGGCTTCTACACAGCCCAGGGAGGCTCCCAAATCAGGACAAGAGCATGCCACCAAGGACAGCCCTTGGAACGTGCTCGAGCCACCGTGGCGATTCAGCGCTGGGCAGAACCCAGACTGTGAAACTCATCGGATGGTATTTCATCACAGAGGCTCCATGACTTGCAGTAGGAGAAATGTGATCAGCCTTGCTGTTTGGATGTATTAAGAGCAGGGAGAAGAAGTGAACCACTTAAAACCCTCACTGGCATTGCCTTGGGGTTTCACGCAAGTTTCCTCTGTATTGGGCCAAGGTTTCTCTTTCTGGACATAAGCCACTCGGATCCCTTCTCCCGTCCTCTCAGAGTAGGACATTCTTACCATTACACTTATTCTCTGATTTCTACTAAGGAACTCAGCTCAAACATGGCAGGCTATGGATACTCAGCCCTTATGCAATGTTCCAACTCCATGTCACCCTCTATTTATAGTGGGTTCCTCTGGGCTTTTACTTGCTGAGTGCCCACCTTCTGGTCTTCATGCCTTCACCCATTTGCATGAGCTTTTCAAAACAGCTACAAAACAGCACCAAGGAGGAGATGCTGAGCTTCGAAGAGCAAGACAGCATCCCATTGACCATGAGCAAGCCTCAAAGCTTCCAACATGTGGGGGTAATTAGTTTGTTTTGTTGAAAGATGACTGATTTTTCTGAGAAGTAACACTTGTAGGTTGGCCTGAAGCATCTTGTGCTCCTGACTCTCACATGTAGAGCCTTTGCCTCCCCATCCTGTTTTCCTCTCCTCCCTTTATCTCCTCTCCATTTTTCTCACCTTGGGATTCTCCACTTCCTCCTTGAGCACACAGCTACCATCCAGGCACAGGTGCCCAGGGCCACAGGGCGTACCATCAGCCCAGAACAGACTGCCATTCTTTGTGTGGCAAATGGGCTCATCACTATCCCGATGACGGCACCAGAGCTGGACACAGATGTCTTCCACAGAGGTGTTGGGGCAGTGTCGGAAATCAGGCCCAAAGATCTGCTTGCATTGCTGGTCCAGTTCATAGAGGGTGCTGTGGCCTGGGAGGCCTGTGGGGAGGGGCAGAACCGAGCTGGGGGCATCCAGGAGACAGTCTCCTGAGAATAGAAGAAATAGATGAGTCAGAACAAGGGCAAGACTTTGCTCTCAGCTCTGTATAGTCTTCTGTACTGAGCTCCTACACTTAACTCCAGTCCTGAATGATGTACTTTAGTATCTAGGCATCCCAATTTCCTCATCCCTGATGTAAACATCACCAACATTCAACCATGTAAATAGAGCTTGTTTAATTCTGGGCAAATGTAGCAAACGTTTCTGTAGGACGACTTTTCTTTTGCTGTCCAGAATGTGTCGGATACATTTCCTGTGACTTTCAGTATGCATCTCGTGACTGCCAGCCTCTTGCACTTTAAACCACATCTCATGTAAAGTTTAAGAACCCCTGACACGCAGAGTAAGCCTGAGTATTGACGTTTGTACAATCTGTTGTTTTTACATTGGCTATATCCCTGCCTCCTTCAGAAGAATCTAGAATACTTGCTTCACTGCTTTGTTCAACAGTCTAAACTTCTTTAACTGGGCAACCCTGCCCTAGATCCTGGCTCTCATATAAACAGCCCATACTCTTTCTTTTTTTTTTTTGTCATTTCTGAGCTGTCATTCAGTCTATCATTCTAGCCCAGAACATTCTCTTCTCTGCTCTTTCAAACTACAAACAGTCTCCCGTTCCTCTACGTTCTGCTTAAACTCACCATCTCTGGACAGCCTTCTCAGACTAATTCCTTCTGCGTTGGAATGTATAAATCTAAGTTAGCCTAGAGCTCAGTCTATGGGAAGATGAGGACAAGGAGGAGCATTCTGGGAGGATGCTTAGCATGCCTTTCTAGAATGACATGCCTCTGAAGTCTTCCCCCACCCTATGGACTTTGTGAGAAAGTACAGCTGCAGGGAGTCCCCAGGCCACAGCAGGTGCCAAGAGCCATGAAAGAAGCTCTATAGCAGATGGGTAGGGAGAAGCCGAGGGGAGCTGAGGAGGGCTTACCGTGACCATCATCCAGGAGCTCTGTGAGGTAGACAGCACTGCAGGGAGACCAGGGTAGCGTCTTGTTCACGTGGATGAAAAATGGCGCCATCATGTGGTACTTGCCCATGGGCCCAAACAATCTCACGCAGGGCTTAGAGTCATCATGAGGCATGCTGAGAACGTGCCCTGGTTGGAGGGTGAGGGAAGCAGAGAGTTGTGGACCATTTCAGCTGTCCATACCTTCAGGTGCCTTGTTCTGCCTATATGTTCCCTACATGGCCAGCAGTGTTGACCTCAAAGGTCCGTTCCTGTTACCATCTCCCATTGGCATGGCTACAGGGACTCACTGAACACATTTATTTTGGGTCTTATTCTCAGTGTCCTACTTCCAAGAAGTCTTTTCAGATTTCAGAAGACCATTGAGATCCCCTTTAGTTTTTGACCAAAGAGGATCTCACATTCCCTTTTACTGTTGGTTGTATAACATGGCCCTCTCTTCATAATCCATCTCCTCCATGAAGCCTGACTACTTAGCTTCCTTAGATCACCACAGTAACTGAACACTTCTCCCATATTTTGGTATTCTCTTGGTAATGCTGATGATTACCCAGGGCATCAATTTAGCACTGTGGTTTTATGCTCAGAGTAGGAATGGAGTTAGTAATATCAAGTACAACATCTATATACATAGAACTACTTTGTCAATGGCTACATGTGAGACTGCCTCCTTCTCAGAAGTTAGGCAGCTGCAGACTTGACAGAGGTAGCTTCTGCTGACGTCTGAAGCAAGCTCTGATATGACAAGTCTTACCTAGTTCATGGGCCAGGGTGTAGGCTGCCTGCAGTCCCTCATCCTTGATCACTGAGCAGCTCTTGTTGGGGTCACAGATGGTGCCAACATCTGCCATTCCCAGGGTGTCACATTGTTCTCCCTTCCCGCAGAAGTTCTGTTCAGTGAGGAATGCATGCTAGGTTATTGAGATAGGCACAGAGACGAGAGGTAAGTGCCCAATGTCCCACTCAGCCTTCTGAGAGGTAACATCTGATGGTATAAGCATTACTGAGCCTTCTAATGTGTGTGTGTGTTTAAATGGGATAATCAGTAGAGCTCAGCACCTAGGTATTCCTAGCTCTCCCGTCTCCTTGGCTTTTCTGTCTTGGTTGTGACGGTTCACCTGTCCTTGTTTTTCTAACCTGGAGAGGGACCCAAGAAACATATTATTGTTAAGACAACACCAACATTAACACTAGCACAACATGTACATGTATGTGTACACACGAGTACATATGCATGCTCTCTCTTTCTCTTTCTCTCTCTCTCTCTCTCTCTCTCTCTCTCTCTCTCTCTCTCGCGTGCACACACACACACACACACACACACACACACACACACACACACACGGCAGTGATGGTGGGGGCAATAAGTGACAGTTGGCCGGGCTAGGACTTCAGAGGCCTGCTTTGGAAGTTAGATCTTCACAATTGCTCAGAGGCTAGCCCTGCAGTAAGACTTTTCTGGCTTAACTGCAAGCACTACTGCTGTACGGCCTCTTGGTGCCTCTTTTACCTCAGTCTCCAAATGGATATAACACCACTTCATTTCCACCCGTGGCTCCTGTGAAGACTGATGACCTGGGCCTGACACACTCAACTGTGCCCACTGGCCTTCAGGAAAGATGTTTAAGTCACCACAGCCACCCTCCTAGGTGCAAACACCAGGGATCCCTAGGTGACCATTCCTATGGCTAACCAGGCTGAAGACAGAACTTCTTTCCTGTTTCCATTTCCAGACGTCTCCCAGGGCTGCTTGAGCTTGCTGCCTCTTGGTATGACCTCAGCAGACAGCTGGTCACAAACGTTTGGAAAAGTGCCCTTAGTACATTCTTCTCCCCTCGTAGAGGCCTCACACGTGTCCTCATGACCCTCTTCTCCTCATTCCAGCAAGAGGCCTCCAAAGTCCAGCTGGGGCCAGCAGGGAGACAGCTCTCATGTTTGGACAGGCCTCAAAGCCCTCCCTTTGATCTGCCCATCCCATTTTCCAAAAGCCTTCCCAGGCTCTCAGTACCAGCCCACACACCTGTCTGGTGAACAAGATGGCAGTGTCATAATGCTCCGGGTGGCGGTCGCTGGGTTTGTTGAAGCGCCGCTGCCAGGTGCAGAAGTTGCGCAGTGTGAGTCCCCCGTTGTCTGATACTTCCGGGCCCCATCCTTCCTCTTCCACTATTAACACTTTTACCACCACAAGGTTGATGGAGTTCCTGATGCTCGGGTGCTTGTAGATTCGGGCTGCCATTGACATCACTGTGAGGATGTGGTTCTACCAGGAAGGGGGAAACAGTGGGAGAATGCCAATCACTTTTATGGCCTTGGCTGCCCACTCCTACCACCTCATTGGGAGATGCTTATCTTACACACATCAGGCTCCAGGCTGTGCTTTATAGACATGCAGCATCCCAAGAGGACTAGCAAAACATTCGAGGACTTGGTGTTATTTCCCCAGAGAAAAAGACCAGGCCTCAGTGGCTGGCCCAAGATCACAAAGCTAATGAACTGTCATCCGAACCCAGTCCTGTTTGATAACAAAACTTATGCACTGAACATCTAGACAAGTTCATGGGTGACCCACTTCCTAGTAATTAACTGAAATTCAACACATGGTTCTTCCATTGCACCAGCAACATTTCAAATGCATCAACACTCGTACATGGAACATGGCTGCTCCATTGGAACTGTGAATAAAAATTTCTCTTGGGTTGGATGGCTTATTCTGACTGCCCAGGACACCAACTGGTTCCTTGCCAAGCATCCCCATCTTCTTGGGCTTCACTCCAGAAGCAACAGTCTGAAGACTTACAGTCACTGGAATTTCCCTATTAGAATATGTCTGAGCATTTTCCTGATGTTCCTTGGGATAACTTTTATTTCTTAGCATGGGAACTGTTAACTCTGAAAATTTTGCTCTAATAATCAGCCTTAGTAATAGCTATTCTGCAGTAGTCATTGGCCACAGTTGACACATCACCTTGTTAACTTCTCATAACATTGCCATTCTGCTTATGAATGAAAGAGTCATTCAAGTTCAATAAATTCTTGAAGATCACACTATTCTTAAAGCCAGGATGCTAGCTCAGGTGTGTGTGTCTGAGGTTCATTCCTTCCAAGAGTTTAGCCTCCTGATTTCTTCATGGACAGTCCCCACCCCCACTTCCTGTATTTATTCACTTCTACTTGGAGCTTGAGAGAAGCCAGAGGGCCTAATGAGACTCACATGCAGAGGATCCCACCTGCTTGCAGTTCCCCTAGGCCAACTGAAAGGCCTATGGACCTACATCATTAGTTGGCCTCTGGCCTATCCTTGAGCTGCCAACTGCTTTTTTTGCTGGCTTTGGGGGGGGCAGATGAGAGCTTATTGTCCTGCTTTGGGACCCTGTGGATTATTTTTCAGAGGCAGAGACAGCGGATGACAAGCTGGCATGCCTTGAGCCCATGGTGTGGCCAGCTGAGCAGTTGCTTGCATGCTTTGCCTTTTTTGCTTCCTGGAGCTTCACTGCCCTCAGCTCCTCTCTCTCTCTCTCTGTTCTCCTGTGGTCTAAAAGGTGGGAGTGGAAGGGGAGGGAAGGCTATGGAGGGGACATTCCATTGAAGAAGGCCTTATGTGGGAGTTCCAGATGTATTCCATTATTTGTGCATGGGATCTGTCTGTTCATCCTGAAGGTGGTAGACCAGATGTTCATTACTCCTACAAATGGCTTGGCAGGTTTCTGAGCTCAGGTGACTCAGCATGCCATGCACTCCAGCTTGTTTAGTCTGATATAAACATCTTATCAGCAATGCTGCAACTTAGCATTTGTTCCCTGAGTTGGATGGCTGAGGAGAAATATGCAACCACATCATTATGCAATCGAGGGTGAGTACTGAGGAATGGTAGCTTAGGAGACAAGCTCCTGGCCAGATGGTCCCTGCTTCTTGATGGGGGACAGACATTCTCCTGGTCTGTCTAGTGAGACTAGGATCCGGCTGAACCAACCCCTGGGGATCTCTTTTGAAGAAATCTGCAACTATCCTTCCAGGATTTTTTTTTCCTTTTGAGTCTCAGTTCTGTAGTATGAAAACTAGGGAAGGTGGGGTCTTTTCAAAACAGTCTGGGACCAAGATGCTGGCTTCTAGGTGTTCAAGAAGGTGGTTTAAAATGAGGAATTGAAGATTTGGGGGACCAAGAATGGTCTGTATACTCAAGCTGACCAGGCCAGACCTGATTTAGGCAGAGTGACGGATGATGCCCTAGTCCCTCAGGGAAAAGGCGATGGGTTATGTGGAGAGAGGACAGCATAGGCAACTCAGGAGATCCTTTTCTCCAGATACTGAGCTGTGGTCAGGCTGAGAAGGGAGTCATTGCCTCCAGGCAACAGCTGACTATGAAGACAGCTTAAGTTCTTTCCTGTCACTGACTATCTCAGAAGATAATCTGCATAGGGGAGGACCACAAAGATTCTGTGGTCCAATGTTCCTTTCAGAAGCTCCAGTCCCTGTCTCACTGAGAAGCAGGGCATCCCCACTATCTCCCATGGCTGGCTCCATCATTTAGATACAGTGGCAGGAACTTTGCATCATGGTTCATCTCATAGCTCTTCAGGGTCAAGGATTGCTAAGTTTGGGATAACTATGTCACCTGGAGTCTGTATGCTTCTGATTCCCCATCTGTTCTCTAGGTCCTGAAGGGTGGACCTGACTTACCGATACAGGGAGCAGGCCCAGGTGTCAGTCAAGGAAAAGGTCAAATGGCTTGCTTGACTGGCCACCTGGTGTCTATTTATACCTCTCTGCTTACCATACAAGTACAAACTGTGAGCTAAAGAGTGGAAATGAGATTCTTCCCCTATTGACTGAGGCCCCTCTTGTTTGTCAGGAATCCATAGAACTATGCCAGAGTGTCAGGACCCCATGGTTACTATAGTCAAGATGAGTCAAGCACCTTAAGTTTCCTCAGGTAAAGGTGGCATTTTTCTGGGGACCTTTCTCAGTACACCCAGAATTCTTTGAGCTACAAGAAAAACCTTCCTTCCACAGGATCCTGAGTGCTCCTATAGCAGTCAAAGCCTACTGTTGGGATTCTCGTGGAAGCTGAGCAAAATGCACTAGCAGTGGTTCCTCATCCTGGCTACAATGTCACCTGTACTTTGTAGTACTTTGTTTGTTTGCTTCCACACAGTGGGTACTAAGTTCTGTGTGGCATGCCTGGGGACATCAGAAGAGTGGCAATGTATGTACACATGTGATATCCTTAGTCCTCCTTCCTGATTTGACTCTAGGGCCTAGGATAGCTCTGTAAGGAGGAAAGAGAGAATTGAAGGGAGAGGGAAAATCGAGACTCACATAGCCATCCCTTATCACACCTTGTTCTCCAAACAGCAAAAGGTGTGATTGCAAAAGCTACTCTTCTTCAGAACTGCCAGAAGCCAACTACAAACACTCAGAGCTAGAGCAGTTTGCAAAGATGGTCTCTCTGCCATGTGGATCAGCAAAGCTGAAAAGCAGTAGCCAGCATTCCAGTGATGTGTAGCTACACCATTATGCCTGCTCTGTCAAATGCTTTCAATCAACAAAGGCAACTCTAGGAATAGCTATGCCTTGCTAAGCACCCATGTTTTGTTATATTCTCAGAACAGTCTTAGGACTTGGGTATGGCTGCTCCCATTTCCCTGGTGAAGAAATCAAGGTACAGAGAGATGGATACTTGCCTTGGAACTCTCAGTTACATCTGTTTTCCTTCTAAGGCTATGTTCCATGCCACTACACTACCATCAATCTTGATTGCTACCAGGAAAACCAAACCCAAAGTCTGCAAGCAAATAAGCGAGCCCTGCATGAACAGCACACACCCAAACATTTGGATATATGGAAATTTTCTTTGGGAAATAGTATCTTTGGCCATTCTGACTGCAGCAAGGGATGGAAAGGACCCATTGTTTGGAAGGTGGACTGAACATAATTAATGTAACATGTCTTTCTCCCATGAAAACTGGCATAAATACAGAGCTGATGAAGCCTAGGCCTATGTGTCACCCAAACCAGCACACTATTGATAGCAAAAGATAACACTGTTTTTATGCTACCAGGCAGAGACGCCTCTGGGGAAACCAGGGTAGAGGATAACTACAGAACTAGGGCTTGTGGGGAACATTCACTGCAGAAGGTAGAGGGACATGAGATGACCGTGATGGCCTCTCCCTAGAATCAGCTCCTAGGACTTGCATCCTGGAATGCTCTGGTCTGCTTTGGGGAGGAAGAATCAGTCCTAGACCCTCCCTGCTGAGAAATAGGGTTAGAAGGTCTGCTTACTGCTGGAACTCTGTTCTTCTCCAAGTCCACCCAGGGGATACTTAGTAGCATCTGAGACATAGACAAAGTTAGTGGACTCTCTTGAGGTGATCCCTCTTTCCAGAAAGTCCCCCCTTTCCCAACTCTGACAGAAATCACAGCTGTTCAGGTTCCAGTATCCCAGAGCTACTGAAACAAGACATCTGGTTAAGACCCATGTTATGCTGACTTCTGCTTGAGGTCCAGGTGTGCTGCTCACACAAGGTGACTTTCTCTGTAAATGTACCACCAAGTTCTGGTACTTTAAGACCTGGCTTATTCAAAGCCACTTCCTCCATACAGAGGCCAGTCCTTAACATGTAACCTGCAAGGAGGCTCTGAGAATCCATTCAGACAGATTGAAGTCACCTTGGGGTGTCTTTGGGTAATGGGAGAGGTTGATGGTTATGATAAGAGTCCCTGATCCTTTAAGGAACTTGAACAAGCTAATGTGCTCTATTCTAACATCTGTGAGACTATCTTATGATGAACCCTTAACTCTGAAGCCAGATAAGAAGGTGGGAGGCAGGGGCCCCTCTTGTGAAGGGATTAAGTGAACTCACTTCTAGAATTCTGGTAAATGTCATTGTCACTTAAGCAATGACACCAGTCTGGATCATAGCCAATTCTTTCTTGAAGCTTTGAAGGCAATGGTGGTTTCTTTTCAGAATGGGGCTTGGCACTTTGATGGGGCATCTTCAGTCTGCTGGATTTAAGGGGCCACACAGCAATGTGGACACTTGGGAGAGGGTGAATAGAACCACAGATCGTCCTTACGAGAAGATACAGTATTATGGTACAGCGACAAAGAATGCTAGACGTAGTCTCAGGAAGTCTGGGCATGTGTGGCAAATCTAGCTTGCCACACTTACCAGTGTGACCTTAGGAAACTCGCAAGTCCTTTTTTGAGCTGTATATTCTTCTTCCTCTGCCTCTCTCACAAGCCTTTTTTTTTTCCCCTGAGGTCATGTATATTAAACAATTCTGTAAGTGGAGTGTGCTCAGAGTTCGGCTGAACCTTCCAGAAACTGGGCTCATCGTGAAACAGTCTCACAGATGCTCAGATCAGAGCGAATTACCTTGTCTAAGCACCTTGTTGTTCCTTAGAGAGTCAGGGGCTCTTATCATCACCATCAACCCCCCCATTACCCAAAGACACCCCAAAGTGACTTCAATCTCTCTAAATGGATTCTCAGAGCCTCCTTGCAGGTTACATGTTAAGGACTGGCATCTGTATGGAGGAGGTGGCTTTGAATAAGCCAGGTCTTAAAGTACCAGGACTTGGTGGTGCTTTTCACAGAGAGTCACCTTGTGTAAGCAGCACACCTGGACCTCAAGCAGAAGTCAGCATAACCTGGGTTTCAGTAGCTCTGGGATATTGGAGCCTGGTCAGCTGTGACTTTTGTATATGCCAAGTATCCCCATGAAGGAAATGTTTATCAACTCACTGTTTAAATGAGGAGAGAGCCTGCTAGGGAGGATATTTTGGCTCTGCATTCTGAAAAACTGACTCCTCTTGAAATTTCTCCATGTTCTTGTTGGTCTTTCTACATTTTGGATTTCAAGCAGATGCCAGGGAGCGGTCTAATTTGGGGATGGTTATAATGTTTAGCTTTGGGTTTGTTCCTTGAGAAGCCTAGAGTCAGATGTAGTGGTCTTGGTGAATTGGGAAGCCCTCTCTTCATCCTCCTCTACTTCTCTAATACATACTTGGGGAAAGGAGTCAGAAGAAGTGGTTGGTCCCTCCTCTAATAGCAGGTAGAGAATAAGATAAGACACTAGCACAGATCAAATCTCAAGGGGCTGATGGCCCAGAGCTATCTTGTAGTGTTTTGAGCAGAGCCAATACCACAAGACCATGCAGAAAGCCTGTACCAGGTTTAATTGGTCTGTGCAGTAGATAGAACATCGATCACATGGACGCCTTACTCACAGTCTTTCCTCTCCTCCCCAAGTGGCTTTCACCGGAACTTCCTCATCAACCACCTCTTCATCACAGGAGGTAGGGAAGACCAGATGACATGCAGAAGGTGTACTGTCTCTGTGTCTGACCATTCTGCAAAGGGAACACCCAGTGCCCCTGGCACCCAAAATAGATTCAGGCACAGGCTGAATCTGGCTAGTATAGGGACCCTGATCAAGGACAACATCACTGCCAAAGGGTTGACTGGGCTGCTGCACTATTGGGATCCCTGACTGGAGAAACTATGATCTCCGGACATGTCAGTTTCCTCTAGCTGAGCTAACGTTTATGGTTCCATATATTCCAGAAAATGGGACCCTTACCCCCTCTGCTTCTGGTAAGATCTTTGCCCTATCTTGGGAGGGAGGTACTGGGAGCACTTCTTACTGAGTCAGCACCAACAGCATGTAGTAATGAATGCTCAGCTACTAGTAATAATGTCTTGGACTCATTTTATTTTTTCTGCCTAGGTCAGTCGAAAGCTGATTCTGGGCCGAGGGTGGCTGGGTGGACCAAACCTCAGCCCTGGTTCCTTTGAATACAGTAACTGGAAAAGTTCATCCTTCAGCCCTGCTCCCTCCCCTTTCTCACAGAAACTTCAGTTTTCTGGGCTGAGCCCCCAGGCAGAAATTCTGTTCTCCTTCCTTCTTGAGCTGGATGCTGGCATTGCCAAGTTCTGCCGGGGCTGAGCGCCAGGTTGGCAAGGTAGCCCGTGCCCCTTGATCAGAACCAGCTGGGCGTACAGAAGTTGGACAGCTTCTTCCCAGGTCTAGTTCCCTCTAACGACTTTTACTTACAGGAACCTTAGTTATGTACCCAAAGACAGTCACAGCCACCTTGTCCCAGACCAGTTTCCTCTCCTAGGGAGTCTCAGAGAGTCCCAGATAGTAGAGAGTTGCGGGGAAGCTGGACTAGAAAGGACGGTGCTCTTTCAAAAACACTTAAAAAAAAAAAAAAACAAACTCCCTTCGGGAGAAGCAGGTGCCTGGGAACTGAAGGAAAACTCAGAAAGAGACAGAGCCAGCGCCTCTACTGTAAACTGGAAGGGATTTAGAGATTGGGAAGTAGGAAGCCGGGATGGCAGAAGTTAATGGAGTTACTGCTGTTTCTCAGAAAGAAGAAAGTCCCCTTTGGGGTTGGGCTTGGGAGCCCGAGGGATTTTTTCCCACCCTCAGTGGGAACGGAAGAATTGAAAACCATCAGGAAGCAATGGACTGTTAGACAGGGTCTGAGGAAGGCTCTGGAGTCCTACCTGCAGGTCGGTCCCATAGAAGGCAGCCATGGACGCATCAGCCACCAGAAGTGTTTCCACGAAGCGAGCCTCGGACACAAACCTCTTGCTCCTAGTTTTGGATCTGAAGGGTGGTGGCACTTCTCGGGAGTCTTCTGTCTCTTTGCGCAACCCCTCTTTGTCCTGCTCCCAGTCATCTTCGTTGTCACTTCTCTCGCGTCCCTGCCCATCACGCATCTCCACCTCCCACTCCAGTCCTTGAGGGAGGGGGAAGACCTCGGCGGCAGCGAGCCCGGGGTCCTCGCGGCGCTGTCCCGGTCCCCATCGCTGCAGGCGATGCGGCTGGTCCAGGGAGTCCCCAGCGCCCTGTGGCTGGATGGTGAACTCCTCGCCTGCCAGCAAGAACGAGCCGCTCAGCCCGCGACACAGGCTCATCGCCGCCAGCGACTCCCGCTCTCCATTCACTGTGCCAGAGAAGAAACAGCCGCGCAGCCCCGGCTCGCCCCCGGCAGCCGCGATCGAGCCCCCGAGACGCTCGATTTTGAACTCTGGCGCCAGGAAACTGGCGTCGGGCGCCAGGCGCAGCACGAAGCCCTGGCCGAAGGCGGACAGGTAGAAGGCGAGCTCGCTCGCGCTGCCGGGCAACCGCGTGGGCACCACTAGTTCCGAGGCCTGCGCCCCGATTCCTGGCCCCGCTGGGGCGCCGCTGACGAGTGGCGGCGGCTGCAGCTGCAATAACAGCAGCAGGAGGGGCGGCCACCGGGTGGCGGTGGGGTCGCGGAGCATGGGGGCAGAGGGCTGCAGAGCGCGGGAGTCAGAAGATCGCCGCACGCGGGCAGGTGCTGGTGGCCCGAGGCGGCCGGGCCGCTCTGTCCAGGAAAAATGATCAATCGGATGGGGAGGCCGACTCGGCCAGCGGCAGCAGGCTCGGCGGTCCCCTGGCGGCCCCTCTGGATCGCGCAGCCCGCTCCTCCTGCGCCTGCCAGCCAACCTAGCAGAACTCGAGCAGCTGGCGCCCCGGGCCGCGAGCGCGCGTCCTCCGTGGCGTCCCGTGCAGTCGCCTCCTTCCTCGGGAAGCACTGAGTGGGCTGCCGAGCCCTTCGTATTTATACTTCCTTCCCGGCTTTGACATAAGAGGTTTATTTTTGATCGCTCACTATTCCCGTTTCCCCTCCCCTGGGGTCAGAGACAGAAACAGAAAAGAAGGAGAGGAAGGGAAAAAAAAAAAAGGGGATGAAATATAAAACCAATCAAGAGTCAGTGAGCCCCTCCCGATAGTTAAGGAGTTAAGTGTCAACTACAGCTTTTTTCCCCTTTCTACGTGACTACGTGAAGACCCACGCCAATTCCTGTAATACTGGACAGTCCCTGAAGACAAGTCCTAGACGAGAGAGACATTAGCTTCTTGTGCTAGAGCCAGGTGCTTGGGACAGACACACTCTGCAGTGATCTCAGCGACAGTATTCAGATGCCTGTACAAACCTGGCAGCATTAAAAGAGGTTTGTGGAGAAGGTTACAAAGCCTTTAATGGAAAGCCATACTGAAATCACACTGTCCATTAAGAACCACTGCAGAACTTTAGAAATGCCACCGGTCAAGGCTAGCAAGGATGCTTAATTGTTTGCTTCTGAGCATGGTGGGGCAGTGAGAGGCTACCACCAGAAAGGCAAAAATGGATTCAATACCACTAAATGCCTGTCTCCTATGGGAGGAAGTACTTCGCCAGTCTCTTCTCTGATGCACAGTTCTGCCAGTTGCCTTGGTGACACGGGGAAAGGTGGCCAAGTCCCTTTTACTGCATTGCCCACAGCTCCAAATACATGTAAATATGTGGTAAGTTAATTCACTCTGCCACACACCACACCTTCCTGCAGAAGAGAGTGGGATCCAGGGAGAATGATGACTCTTGTATTAAGGGTGCAGGTCTAGATTGGATCCAGAATCATGTTCTCTAAGTACCAGTACAAGTTCTAGCCCCCTGCCCTGTGTCCTTTCTGAGTAGCAGCCAATCATGGAAGACACAGTATTTGGCAGCTCACCTATCCCCAACTACACAGCCTTTTGCTTATGCGGAGGGTGCCTCCAGTAGAGTTGTTCTTACTTCTGTTTAGCTGACCCAATCCATTTCTGTAGCTGTGAAGGATTGGCCTACACAAAAGACCCCTTGGGGCTTGTTACCTATAAAGAGAAGGCTCTTAAAGTGACTTGTGTCATTACAGAACCTAGGGAAAGGCCCCAACACCCCAAGTTCTCTCCACTTTTATAGCTGTACAAAAGAGTGGTTGAGAGCCTTCCAGGTGCAGAATCTCCTTCCTTTCCTGTACAGAGAATTGGAACTTTGGATGAAGCACTCCTAGAGGCAGGGGAATGGAAAGCATCACTGGTTTTTTTTTTTTTTTTTTACCAAAAATGAACAAGATGCTCATCCATCAACAGTTTAATATCCCTGGGACAGTGTGACCTGTACAGTTAAATGAGCAATCCCTTTTTGCCTCAGGGCTGTGGTGACATTTTAATTACTGGTCTTAGCCATTAAGTCCCTTGTTCATTATTTTCCAGTGTGGTACTCCTTTGTTTTTTTGTTTTTTTTTTAGGCTGGCCTCTAACAACTTCTTCTTCTTCTTCTTCTTCTTCTTCTTCTTCTTCTTCTTCTTCTTCTTCTTCTTCTTCTTCTATTTATGTATTTATGTGAGTACGTCTTCTTCTATTTATGTATTTATGTGAGTACACTGTAGCTATCTTCAGATACACCAGAAGAGGGCATCAGATGGTTGTGAGCCACTATGTGGTTGCTGGGAATTGAACTCAGGACCTTTGGAAGAACAGTCAGTGCTCTTAACCACTGAGCCATCTCTCCAGCCCAAACTTCTTAGTTTCTTACCTTATAGCCTCCTAAGAGCTGAGGTCACAGGTATGTGCTGTGACCTCTTGCCTGGCTTTCAATTTCTTGTTTTCAATAGTAGTTAGGTCCTTCACGTGTGCATTCTTTCTCCTTTGTGACTATCCTATTGGAGTACCCAGCTTCTCCTTAGATGTTAGTTAGTGGCTGTACCCAGAGTAGGGGAAACTAAATGTCTCTTGTGTTTTTATTTGGGAAGGCTCTGGAAACTGTGGCTGCCACTGTTGCAAAACAGAAAGAACTGCTTTTGAAGACAGATACTGAACTGTGGACTTCATCTTTGCCCTATTTCATCAACAACAACTACAACCATACAACAATTGCTGTCAGGCAAACTATCCAGGAAGCCAGCCTGGCTTCTAGGTAGAGATCCACTGGGCTCATCCTTGTGACCATATGGTAATTTCCAGGGAAGTACCTGCCATTTGCAATACAACCACAAGGTGTCATCCTTACCTTAGTTATGCTTAACCCAAGCTTTGCAGGGATGGTTGGGCGACTTACAGAGAAGACCCTGAGAAGTTTGGTGGGTGAAGTCTGTACAGCAAAACAAACACCATTCCCAGCCCACCGGAGGAAATCCCAAATGGGCTGATTATGGAGTTCCTACATTACCATCTTGAGCCTCAAAAAATATAATTGCCAAAAAGCTTGGCAAACATGGACTAAGGCTGCTTTTGTATATTCCACATATTAAATAAAAGTGTTTTACATATTTTAAGTGATAAATATAAAAAAATAAACTATTACTATTTCACAACATTGAGAAGCCATGAAATTAAAACTTCAGTGTTTGTAAGAATGTTTATTGGCAACGGACATTCATGGACCCTTTGGCTGCATTTGAGGCGTACAGGATATGGCTGAATGAGCTTAGAATATTTACTATCTGGCTTTTTCTATAGAAAGGTTGTTGGCTTAATGTAAAACAGTGTTAGTTTGAATTTCTTAAATTTGGAGTGTGGGATATAGGATTCTTAGGAAATAAGAAGCTCAAAATAACTTCTTTGCTATGAATATGAATGGGAAATTATTTAAAAAGCTAAGATGCCTTTGTTTTGTCTTTAAACATATATTTAGCAACTATTTATTATTTAATTAGCATTTAAATAATTAATTGCTTTTGTATCAGCTTATACTGTATTATTGTACATTTTAAGTTGTTTTAGTTTTAGTTGTTTTCTTAAAGTATGTTTAGATTTATTTATTTTATAAGTATGAGTGTTGTGTTCACATGTGTGTATATGGACCACATGTGTGCCCATAAAGGTCTGAAGAAGGCATCGGATCCCCTGGAACTTGAGTTACAGACAGTTGTGAGCTGTCATACTGGTGCTGGGAATCAAACCGAGGACCTCTGGAAGAGCAACCAGTGCTTTTAACCGCTCATCTTTCTCTCCAGATTCTTTATTTTTCTTAGAAATATTCATTTATTTGTATGTGTGTTTGTGTCAATGTATGTGCATTTGTGTCTATTCTACACATGTGTGGAGGGCAGAAGAAGGCACTGGGTATCACACTTTACCATTCTCTACCTATACTTTTGAGGCAGGGTATCCCTCCCTGAGCCTAGGATTTGCTTTTTCTTGGCTAGGCTGGAAGCCAGCAAAACCCAGAGATGTTCATGTCTCCATTTCCTTTGGAACTGGTTATGGGTCTTACATGGGTGTTCATGAATACGCAGCAAGCTCTCTCAACTGGTGCACTGCCTTTGCAGCTCTGAACTTTAAGTTTTTAATTAATTCATATTATTTCTGTTTATCACTAGTTAGGTGCTTACCCCATACATTTGTAGTGTGCACTAAATTCTGGTAATCTTTAGACTTCCAGATTCCTTCAAAACTGGGAGCGGTCAGCTAATCCACTTCCACTTGCATTTTGAAGAAGAGGGCAAATACAGGTTTCAGTAACTTACCTAAAGTTGTGTAGATTATGGTGGCTTTCTTGCCATAAACGTTATGGTACCTTCTAGAGGGAGTTAGAGACTCCATTGCTCCAAAGATTCCTTTGTAATTTGTGCTTTTCCATTAACACCGAGTATCAACTGTGGCTGAGGCTTTGTCTTATATGCTCATTTTCATTGACTTGGTCTCGTTTGCTCCTTAGTAGTGATAGCTGCCATCTTTTGAGTGCTTACTATTGCTAAACACTGACCTGAGGAGGGAATTATACAGGTGATGTGCAGGCTTGGGGTGCTGATGTAAAGTGCTTAGTGTTCCTTGGATAACAGTTGGCAGACACAGGACTCCTCACCAAAGTCATATCTGCAAACTGCTAATTAAATAGAACATTTTTGGGGAAGAACATCTCACACAGATTTCATCCATGTATTATAGGGCTAGAAAGAAATGTTGGGATACAATAGACCAGTGACCTTCTTTGGGAGGATGCTTAAAAATCTCTTTTATTTCTGGAGCCTGGTCCTTCTGTCAGGGTTTTAAAGAAAGAAAGAAAATGGCTTGTCTCAAATTCCAGCCATAGCCCTTAAACATAAGCAAAGTTTTTTCTTTCTAAACTTTTATGTGCCAGGAGTATGTTCATTTTCTGTCATTTAAACTATCATGTGATGGCCACAACTCTACCTATCAGTCACTGGAGAAAGGACGTCACAGTCTGTCTCTGTCCTGCTGTTGAACATACATCTCAGGCATGCCATAATCCATTTCCAGCACCAATTTTGCACTGACTCATACCTTCTGTTTTCTTCCACACACATGCTTAGGTGTCCTTCAGTCATGTGTAGAGAGGTTCTACGTGTACCTCTATCTTCTCAGTACTTTCTTAGTCCCAAGTGAAACCTCTGAAATAGAACTCAGTATTTCCAAATCCAATTTGTTCATGTTCTCAAGGCCACCCTAGCAAAGAACCAGTTATTCTGATTAATCCCTGTTCTCATCTGGCTTCTGTGGTATGCTCAGACAGTGTCAACAAATGACCTTATGGTGATACTGATTTTTTTTCCTAACAAGAGTTTAATTGATTTAGAGAAACAAAGGCACCAATAACCCTGCTTGCGTTTTCCATGTACGCTAACGCGTGCACAAAGCTGCTTAAGAGATGATCCCTGACTTCCAAGTCACATGCATACAAAAGGCTGTCCAGGGCTCCAGAGAGAATGCATCCATGATTACAAGCTGTGATTACTATGTAATTGAC